GGTGTGTGGGGTGTGGGTGTGTGGGTGTGGGTGTGGGGTGTGGGTGTGGGTGTGTGCCATAACAGATAGTCAATCATAATTACAATCAGTTACTAAAGAAGAAGCAAAGCATTTTAAAAAAACATGCGGCTCTTTTTCACTACAGATGCTCAATGAATATCAGAATAATTGATGAAAGAAGAAGTGAAAATATTTAAACAAATAAACTTGATTCTTTTTCTCAAATAAAATAATCAGTTATGATTACAAGTAGGAACTAAAGAAGATTGGAAATGAATAAAACGAAAACATTTTATCCTTCTTTTGGCACAAAAGATACTCAATTATTATCGACATATCTAACTTAGAAGAAGGACAAAGGCCTAAACAAACATATTTGATTCATTTCCTGATACTACGTGTTCGAAGAAGATGAGATTAGAGACCTAAAAAGAGGGCAGAATGCTTAAAGAAAAAATTGTTATCGCAATTCCTTGAAGGATTAAAAATGTGAAACGCGATTCACCTATTGTTACTAGTTAAATAGATTTCGTTTTCTTCCGATTCTTCGCGATAGATTTGTAGCTTATTGTTAATTTCATACTTCAAAACTAGAGTTTCTCTGTAGCAGTCTATGATGAGTTTGGAGATTCTCTGTCGCTGTCTATGGAGGTCTCTTTGTGTTCTCTGTGATAGCGTCTGGAGATTCTCTGTCACTGTCGGTGATGATCACTTAGTACCCTGTGTCACAGTCTGTAGCACTCGCTGAAGTTCCTTAGTCACAGTGTGTAATGAGTTTGGAGCTTTTCTGTCACAGCATATAATGAGTTTGGGGCTTCTCTATCGCAGTCTATAATAGCCTGTGAGGGTTCTCTGTCACAGTCTGTGATCGGTATGTAATTTCTGTCACGGTCTATGGGGGAATGGATTCAAAATTTTTCTAATCTATGCACTTCATCAATCCTTTCAGATTGTGTTTCACAAAAATATTAACCCTTTTTATCGTAAAAGATATCGGATGAAGATTAGAATATCTAACTGAGTAAGAAGAAAGAAAATCTAAACGAAAATGTCTACCTCTTCCTCACAAGGAATACTAAAAAACAGGAGAAAATATTTGAATGAAAATATTTGATTTTTGATGAACGATACTGTTATATTCAGAGTAACTGCCAGGACAAAAAGAAGAAAGAGTTAAACGATGAAAATTTATGCTCTTTCTAAAACGCACTTATGAAAAAATCAGACTATTGAACTAAGAAAGAATGAAAAGAGGATAACGAAAATATTTCATGTTGTTCTTTGTAACAGATACTGACGTATGATAAGGATAGCTTATTGAAAAAAGGCGAAAAGAACAAAAGAAATATATTCAACTCTTCTTCTAAGAAAGAAGTGAAATGAAAATATTCAATTGTTCTCCAGACAAAAGTCACTAAACTATAGTCAGGATAACTGAATGAGTGAAAACAAGAAACCAGTTAATAAAAATATTTTATATTTTTAGTCACAATAGATACTTAATAAAAGTGAGAATCACAAAACGAAGAGGTATGAAAAATACGACAGCTAGTTATTTTTTAGCTGATGACTATTGGAAGATATTGAATGATCGTTGGGCTAACTCAATTAGAAATAAGAAAATGAAATTAACTAATCTGTGTAATTATGCTGCTTTTGAATAGGTCTTAGGTTATTGTTTTAGTGGCAGAGTTTGTTGAATGTTTGATCGAAATGGTTTTTGGATGAAATAAAGAATTGGTTTGTGTCGTAGATGTTTTTGCCGGTATCATTTCGTTAAGTGCATGTGTTGATATGAAATTGAAATACTTACAAAGATTCTGTTCCTAGATGTTGGCAAGGTTCACACATTTTTGATTGATGATTGAATTAAGTGAAGAATGAGATATGTGTTCACTGAAGAGTTGGAATATATTTCAACTGATCTGTTTTTTTTGTATGATTGAATTGTTAGTAAGATGTTTGGAATTGGTTTATTGAAAGAATTTATGGTTTTTTATTATCCGCTTGTATAATGCGAGCATTTAACCTGTTGGGTTGGATAATTATAGAAACTAATTTTTAGAATTAGTGTAGACATAAGTGGTTTTTTTTAAATGCTTTTTAACGAAAAAATAAACTAAAAATAATACCAGTTTATATCAGTTTTATTTTGTATTAAGCTCTTTTAAGAAAAATACGTAAAAGATAAAGAAAAAAAATCATTTACTGAATATCGTTTACTGAAGAACTTTATTCTAACATCAATGTTTGCGCTTGTTTTGTGAAAGCTAAAATTTGATTTTGCATCAGTCAGTGGAGTGGCATCATCCTGAATATCTTGCTAGTTCTTTTTACTGTTGGACGTGAAAGATTTATTTTTCTCTTTTATTACGCATTCAAGCCTTTCCTGATAACTTTCGACGAAGCGCTTTCATATTTCGATAGCTTAGCAACAACGATAATACTTCTCCGTAACTGCTATTATTGTGAAGCAATGTTGAATGAAATTAGAAATTTTGTGAAATCAGCAGTAGATGAAAGTGGAACTTATTCATTTCTAATAACATATTCAAATTTGAATCAAAACTATTTTCAGCAGAACTCACTTGTGTTATTGAATTACTACTCAAATAATCTTGTTGAATTGACAAACGGCATCGTGTATTTCTTTTAGGCGACGATTTCGACACAAAACAATGCAATTGTGTACATTTACTTAACATAAGTGGTTTACATACACTAAGTTTGTTCAACTAATCGCAGAGCTATCCAATAGATAAGGTTATCAATCTGTAACAATCACAGTCATTTTAGAGAAAATGCTAACCGTCTTTCACAGAAATAATCACAGATAACTGCAAGCAACTAAATAGATATACTATCATTCTGTTAACGAATCTGAAAAGAAGGATTTAGGTAGAATTTTTTATCGCCGTGCAGTAAATATTCTTTATATAAATACTCATGAA